AGCGCAACCTCAATCGGCGAACATTTCCCATGCACGTCGTTCAGACGAAAAAGCAATTCCAGTCGATTCTACAACAAATGATGATGACAGGCAAAATATCACTTCAAGTCATGATGTAAAAAGCACTACTGAAACAAATTCAGTCATCCAGAGAACATGTGCATCCATCACCACGACCTCAAGTATTAACACGCCTGAACGGGCAGTACCCAGTCTTCTGGCGTCATTTAACACACTCCCTGTGGAACTTATCCACCGGATACTTGACAAGCTGGACGCGTGTACTATTTTTGTATCCCTCTACAATGTGGACACTCGTCTCAACTCGATTCTCTCTTCCTACGAACGGTACGATATGAATCTCAAGTCAATCTCAAAGCCACATTTTCATCGTCTCTGTTCGCTCATCCGTCCCAATCAGGTCATATCTCTAACGTTGTCCGATGCAGATGACAGCGCCGGACTAACTGAATTGTTTTTCCGACAATTCACCCTTGAAGAATTCACTCGTCTCCGCTCCTTAACTCTTGTACAGATCGACAATGACGAACAAATGACGAGAATATTGCTGTCAATCCCTGATGACCTCGCATCACTCTTGATCGAACATCCTAATGAGACGTATAATGATACTGTCATGGATGTACTCATGTCCATCGCGGGGAAGAAATCCCTTTGCAAGTTCACTTTGGACGTCGGACACAGTCGCACTCTGCATCCATCTCTGCCATGGCCAGCTCAGTGTTTCCTACGACATGTCAAACTGGTCGCCTGTTGCAATCTTGCACTTTTTCGGAATATTCTTCGCTTTTGCCCTAGTCTCGAAATATTCGAAGCATATGACTTGGATTTCGACGACGAGTGGGACGATGATAATGAGAACAATGATCACCAAATTCTCCCTATTCCAGTAGCTTCCTGTCTCACCTCGTTATCCTTTGTGTACGTAAGGAATGACATGGAGAGAATAGAATGGTTACTGCCGCAGTTCCCAGCACTACAACACTTCAAAATTTTGAGTTCATCTGATTTTCATGACGAATCAATTCTCGAAGGTGATCGCTGGAAACAGCTTTTGATGCGAGTGGATACATTCGAATTCGTCTTCACAGTTCGTTTACAAACCGACGACTGGGATGCACATGATTGTTTGGCGACATTTCAAACATCGTTCTGGGAGCAGAGACAATGGGTTATTGCCCTCGAACAGCGCGACACAATTGTGACACTTTATTCGTTGCCATACTGCCACTTTCTTTATAACTTCGATCATCTTAACTTTTATTCTGCGTCGAATAGTCCGGCACTATTGTGGACCAGTTCCATGCAACATGTTGCTCAACTGGATCTGAACATTGCAGCTTTTAACAACACCGGCAATCAGGTGAGTGAATCTGTTTATAGCCAATGTACTTTTAGTTAGAGAATAACCGTTATTTAAACTATGTCTGCAACGTTTGTTTGTATTTCCATAGATCAATGACTTTCACCGTTTCCCCAATGTCTCCCATCTTACAATCAACGGACCATGGAGAACGAACGAATCTTCCAACGCCATCGCCTCAGTAGTGCGTCTGCCAGTCATTGTTTACCTGACCAGACACGATCGCGTACCTACAGTAGTTTTTAAAGCATTCCTTGATCGACTGCCAAACTTACAGTCGCTAACATTGACGATCCATTTCCTCGACAGTATGAATGCAGCAAAGTTTCGACATAAAGCACTTCTGCGCTCTCTAAATGTCGTGCAGTCGGAAGGCGACAATCGTGGATTCGTCAATATAGAACCTTTCTGTGCCATGTTTCCTCGCGTTCAACATCTCAACATTCCAGTGGACGGTCTGGAAAGTTGTCAATACGTATTTGACCAACTCGAGAAGTATTTGATCAGCGCTGTCTTTCGTTTGCCCAGTGATGACGACGAAAATGAGGAGGACCACACCGACCTCAATGAATGGGCGCATAATGTTCAACAACGTCATCAATATCGTATACAGGATCGCGAAATTCACCTGTGGCTACAGTAAGCCTTCGTAAATATGAGAATGTGTGATCCAAGTTATCTATGATAGCTCCCACCATCAAATAAACTTGCCTGACGAATGAAAGGAGATATTAATCACGACCTATAAGAACAGTTGTAACTAATCAGTTGTTCTGTCGTAAGATATATACTAAATACTCATGTTTTGGTAATGCATGCTAAAAAAAGGCTTCACATATCTCCAGTTGTGTAGTCGATTAATTTTAACCTAATAATTCGTTTTAATGAACTGTAAGTTTTTTTCTTATCGCACGGTTCCAGCAGCGGCTGATGGATACATGCGATAGATCCGATAGGAGGAGAGTATCCCCATTCTGTTTTTTTCCCTGCGGCGGTTGAAGGCGCATCCGAGCAGCGCACTCTAATTGCAAAATCATCTGATTTTAGGGTGACACCCAATATGTAGACCGTGCGTCTGGAAATAGCGCATAATGGGAACCGGACTTCATATTAATATATTACTTTGTTTTGCAAAAATCACAAAAGGATTTCCACACACGCAGATTTTACTGTTTTTATCGTAAGAAGCAATGGCACCGCTTCCCGTCTCATCAATAGTATTGAAGAAATTATACAATATCATACATTATAGGATAACTAGATAATTTTGTCTGCCTCTCTATGCTGGCAACATCAAATTTCTCTAAATTTAAGTCATAACACTGTATCATAAAACTGGGCAAGATCAGTGTCGTAAGCAGGCTTGGGCGAATCCGAGTCCGCACTGGAAGATTTTTTGGCGACTGGGACTCGGACTTGAGTTTTTGTATTTCGAGTCCGATCTATTCAACTTTTAACACAAATGAGCAGAGAAAAATGAAAAGTGAAATAACAACACCTACTATTTCACATGTAACTGAAAATTTTATTCGAGAGACGGACATGGGGCGTAACTTCATTTTCGAAAAATCAAATATCTATCCAGGGCTTAGCAAATTAAAATGTAAACCAACCTCATCAATCTCTTCATGCGACAACCTAACTTGGTTTCCAGTAGAAGAGTATAGCAGTGGTTCGTATCATATAAATAAAATATTTCACATCGAATAAACCATTTTGGTTCCCGGTGTCCGGTATTGATTTCTAACATCTGTTGACGTTGTTATTGATAATTATGATCATAGTGACCCGAATACTGATAAAGCGGTTTTGCATCGTATCGTGTGACACTAATTACATTGATTAATTTTTTGAACAACTAAACATATAAAAACAAAAATACATCTTAGTATTATACGACCCATGAATAGATGATAATACAGACTTGTCCATGGAAAAACACTCGATAACACAAACTAACTTTCTAAACGTAATAACAGTAGTATATAATATCGAATAACGTGAGTTGACAGGAAGTCTCACGATATTCAAACTATTTGCGAAATCTTTTCCCTAATTTTAAAACAGCAAAAAGAAGTATATATATGCTTAAGGTAGTTTTATCTATACGCTCTCTCAATGCACATCAGAGCTATCTAGCAGGGCTTGCTGCAGGGCGCAGATTGGCCGCTCTAGAGTTAGTTGACGTAAGGCGGTAGTAAAAACACGCCAAAAATCTAAAGTATTTCTTGATTACAAAAACATGACTTTTCCTTCGTTAAATCAAATATTCGAGATAGGTAAAGATCGAGACGTTTTTCATCATTTTGTTATATTTCTAAATTCTAATACAAAGGTCTCAAAGGTCTGGATATAAATAATTTGTTTGAATTATAACAGATGTACAACAAAATGAGACGTTCGCGAGCTTTGTGCGATGGTTTTTTATGATTTTACACACGTTTTAGAACAAACACGGGGGTATTGTGCCCGGTCTCCCACTGGTTTTTTCCTCAGTTTTGATTCATTGACGTAGTAATTTACATATGGTTGAATTTACATATGAGAGGTTGAACTTAGCTGAAAAGTAGTTTAAACTTTAAGAAGTCTTGAAACTTATGATGTACAGGGATGGACACAACAGAGGATCCGGGTATTATATCGCGTCCTAACGCTCATAACTTTGAAGGGGGTCTTCTAAACTGTTCTGAAAAAAGCCGATTTTGAGCTGAAATCGCTTGATCGAGAGTTTGCACTGTGTACAAGCTTGTCTAGCAGCTGTATATTCGCTCTAACCCAGCGTCAGGGTCCAGTCGGGCGTCCGATCTCCGGAAGTCACCGGAATTAAAAGTGTGATATGACAGTGATGAAAAAAGCGTTTTTATGGGAACACGAAAATACGAAAGCAAAGAAAGTTCATCCACACGATAATGTCAGTTGTATTAACTTCCAGCTGATGATTAATATCGTTGACACTGTTAGTGAACTAATAAATTGTTTCCTAAGATACAAAAGTCGACTTGTCACCTTTTTTGACAGTTCATTCATTATATTAAATTCTTATTTTGAGTTATCAGCTAGTTTAAATTTTCTTTTTTTAAGAAAATAAAAAGAGAAAAGAATTGTAAGCTAATACCGAAAATAAAATAAAATAAACTTAACTATACTTAAGTTAACTAGTGAAAATTAGTCAAACCGTTGTAGAAGTTGAAGCGCCTCCTAAATAGCACTTACAACCCTCCGCTTTAAATTCGTTTTTGGGTATCCAAATATGTTTTGCTAAAAAAGTTAAAAATCAATATATGTCAATATAACAAAGCTCAACTTTTGTTGTTTGATATGGTTATGTATTTCGGAAAACATGTTTTAAAAAACAGTCGCACAGTTATACACTGTTACTTGTGTTTTACGGATGGTGGTAGAGTTCGTATAACATATGTTCCCGAATGTTCTATCGATGTTCTGCTAACGGGAATACTATTTGCTCAGAAAAGGTTAGAGCTACGTGGTGACGTATCAAGGAGCGCAAAAACATCGTCTGATGATACCGTAGGGAAACTGTATGGTGGTTGACGCCTATCGTTCACTAATGAGGGTCTTCTAACTTCATGATTATGAATAGGCTGCTGTCTATATATCACTGTTGTTTCGAAAAATTCTTGTGTCTTTTGCCTTCAACTTGTTTAGTATCTTTTAAATGTAAACAGGCATCAGCATCTCTGGCTAATAATGGTGACTCGTTTTCAGCAGAACCACATCGAATAAAATTGAATTGATTAAATTTAATATTTGATAATCGTTCTTTTATAACTTGATGACTGCTATTATCACGACCATCAGTAAAACAGTAGGGAGAGTCTATTGGCACTCCCGGGAGTGTCAACAAGGTCAACGCTGATCTGTAAACTTTGCAACCGTATAATTCCTAACACACAGCGTTTTCTTTGAAAAAAAACAGGTGTCATTTTTCGAAAAACAGAATATACGTGCACTATTTGAACTTACGCCGGTGACACTGTTTTTTCATTTAACCATATCGCACTGGAGAGAAACTTGAAATAACTTATACTTTTCGCGAATTAGAACTCATTTACAAACAGCTCAAAAATTAAAAAAGCTTTAAAAGAACAACATTTAATTTAAAATCCTCGGCTCGGAGAATAAACCACTTTTCCGACATAGCTTTTAGACTAAGTTTGCCTGGCGACGGAAATAGCTAGTTGCCACTCCCGGGAGTGCCAATAGCTCCTTGTTGACACTCCCAAACACTTGCTGGGAGTACCAATAGCTTCTTGTTGACTCTCTTGGGAGTGCCAACAGCTCCTTATTGACAGGGCTCCCTGGGAGTGCCAATAGCCATTCCAAAAACAATATAAATTACATTTAGATATTGCTTGACTTGCGAGGTATTCTAATGGTTCGTCAATAGCGTCATAAATATCTGAACCAACTGAAGATGGACTATAAACAACTTTATGAAGCTTTTCAATGTTCGCTATGGTGTTCGCTTCTTTATCATTGCACAAATCGATAATGAACGATTGCAAACGTTTTTCATCAAATACATACATTTCAATTTGATGTTCATCGTCGCAACTATTGGAAGCTGCATTTGTTATTTTATTCAGTAACTGTTTAATGATTTCGAGCGCCAAAGATAATTTTGATCCACCGGTAATAATTGACACTGGGAAGGGTAAGCACGACCATTTCATCGATGAGCTAACATCCAGCGATATGTATGTACGCCCTTTATGTCTGAACTCTCGCTGAAAGTAATGTATAACCAACACATGATGATGATAACATTTTGGACAAAGAAAGGGAAAATCCTTTGGATGGTGACCATTATACAAATCAAGTTCACGTTGACGACGAATATTTTCTACTATCCGTTCCAAAATACAAGAGCATCGGTTGCTCTTTGAATAACTCAGCATTAGATAAAGATAGAGACTTGCGATTTTTACCATTCGAGAGCCAAGGCTTGAGGCTACGTTTTCATAAGCAAAACTGATTTTCGAAGCCGGTTTATCAGAAGATCTTTGGAAAACTAGCCAGCACTTTCCGAAATTCAAACAGTAATCTATTGATTTTTTTCATGTGCTGATAGCCCGGGGTGTTCTCTTCAAAATGGGAGTAAAGTGAGACATTGATCTTCTGCGGTTCGGGCGTTGTATCGGATTTCGGACGAGTCCCAGGACTGGCACCCGATGGCTCTTGGTAGCCTTAAAGACGGATGCACTATGGATAATCGACCATGTCGAGTCTCGTGGCAATATTTGTTTTTAGAAAAAGTTTTGAAAATCTACCAAAAAGTCAGTTTTACGAAAATTAGGGTTTTCAGTCTGTTTTCACCTAATATGAAAAAAATTCACTATTCGCTCACTAAACATCAGGACGAATTCAGACCTTCAGAATGTGGAGCATTTAAGCTATTCTGTATCCTGTTTATAGAAGATCTGAAAATAAATTTTAAAAAACCCTAAGGTTTTCCAACAGGCATTTCTGGAAAACCTATTCACAAAAATATGCTTTCCGATTTCTTCGATCTTATAATCACATTCAGCGGATAACATTAATCATATCCTGAGATTTTGAACTCGTCCTGATGTTTAATGAGCGAATAGTGAATTTTTTAATATTAGGTGAAAACAGACTGAAAACCCTAATTTTCGTAAAACTGGTTTTTCGGTAGATTTTCAAAACTTTTTCTAAAAACAAATATTGCCACGAGACTCGACATGGTGGATTATCCATAGTGCATCCGTCTTTAAGGCTACCAAGAGTCACCGGCTACCAGGATATAGGAGAAATTTGTATTTATGCTTGCCGCTCAATCTTCACGACATTTCGCACCTGTAAAAGGTTTCTCACGTGGACGCGCGTGAAACGTAAGAATTTTGTCGCTTGGGATTGAGCGCGAATATTATTCACGAAATGGGTTGCGTGAAAAACTGACGTGCGAATAAATGTGAAGATATTTTTTACAATGAAATTAGTGGGAAACATTTTCACGCATGTTCCGCTAGTGACATTTTTTTACGGAAATTTTAACATGAGAAATTCACGTGTGGCCACTACACACTTCACGACTTTCACCTGTGATCACGTGCAAGAAAATATGACGCGAAACGTCTTCGTGACCAGTTCACCCGTTGTCACAAGTGAAATATATTTTTCACGCGTGCTCACGCACCATTTTACGATGTTCACGTGCGACCACAATTCATTTCACCATATTCACGCGTGTACACACCGCGGTACGTACTAAAATTTCCCCATGGGTATCCTTTGACTAACAGTACAACCGCATGAATAGCACGAATAAAATATACCATGGTCATCTAAATAAACGGATCACCGTATTAGTATGGAGATTTTACTAGAATACAGTTAAAGCTCTAAAGAAGGGATACAATTGGCATTATTCGATAGAGAACAAGATAAAATGTCTTCTTTCATCTGCAGAATCTGCCATTTCATACCTTGATTGCACATATGAAGAAAGTTTTGCCTGAAGTTTCATATTACGTTAGTAACTATAAAGAAAACGTCTTTTGTTGAATAAAAATATTTCAGTTTAATTTAACAGTGAAGCATACATAATAACATGATATCTTCCGATCAAACGTTCCATACTCCGTTATGTTACAAGTATCCTCTCAACGTACAAGAACCAAGCGAAGAGGTTTCTCGTATACTAGGGTATTGCTTTTTTTTGTTTTTTTCCTCCTCACATTGATATCACATGTCATTTTTCGTTTATTCGCCTACCAATTATTGATCATTTTCATACAGTAAAGGGCATCGAATATATTCATCGTTCGTTCTTTTTTACTCTTCACTACAGCGACGATTAGCTGTCGGTGTCGTCGACCATGCGCCTCTAGTAGGATTCGAAAGAGTGTATGACAAAGAAAGAGATCGTAGAGATATACTGTATTTAAAAAGAATTCAATTTTTCATTGGGCTACAGAAGAGAGAAATAAAGAACGCATAAAAGTTATCTGCCTAAATGCACGAGAAAACTGAGCTGCGTAAAAGTTATCGTTTCATGTGCAGAAAGTTAAACATGATATTGTGTATCACATTGACTAAAGTATAAGATGACTGTTTCAGTGTAAGCGACCCATATAATTTTAATATATATATGTGTGTGCAAAGTGATAAAACCGCGACCATATTGTTCTGATGTAAAAGATGGACAATCTGAAAAACTACTTTGTTTTTACCGATGCTCCTCATAAAAAGGTAAAAGGAACATGTAAGATATGTGACAAAATTTATAGTGAAAGCAAGAGTTATACATCCAATTTTCGCCGCCATTTAAAACGTTCTCATCCTCTCCAATTTGGTAAACTAAACCAGCGCATTTCGAAACGAACATTTGGTACTAATGAACAATTGGTATTTGCTCATGAGAAAAATGATAGACGAATCACTCATTTGACTGATGAAGAATGGTCAAAACAAGAAAATATTAACATTTCAATGTGAGAGACCTTATTGTGAAATGTAATTTACCACCATCACTTATTGAACATGCTGAGTTTTTTCCGTGCAAGCATCATCGCACATGTTGAAAGAGTGTTCAGCCAGGCCGGTTTGATTATGTCACGAAAACGGACAGATATGAGCCAATCACTCTTCGAAGACTGAGTATTTTTGAGAGCAAATAAACATCTTTTATGAGAAAGATATGTGGTTTCTTTGTTAGTTACATATGTATACAGTGCTGTTGATATTTTACTCACGAACGTTTTTCTCTATATTTTGCGCGCACATACACACCGGTCTATCTGTCTTCAGCTTCATTTTATATAGAGCATATATCGCACGTTAGTTACTTCAAACGTCATATTATGACATTTGAAGGATATATGACGGTCATATGACCTGGACCATCCTGTCTCTAGAATCTCAGTTTTGGCTGCCAAAACTGGAATTCAGTCAAATCTTAGATTTGCCTAGCCAAAACTAAGATTCCACTTTTGGCTAGCCAAAACTGAGATCAGTCAAATCTCAACAAATCAAATTGCATCCCTAGAACATTCATCTGGTGCTAAGATTAGTTTATCTAGCAAGCAACATAATTA